GCCCCGTGTGTCTCGTTCACCCCTCTATCCCTAGAACATAGCAGTCAATCTTCAACCAGGACAGCTTCCAGCCAACACAGTCCTCAGCTTCTTGTCTTGGCTGTGCCTGCTGCCAAATCTTCTCTCAGCCTCGCCAGAAAGTGCCCCAGGGGGATCCTCCTCCCCACTCCTGAGTCCACTTGCTTCTCACATGTTAGCACCTGTCAGAGGATAGGTGTGGTCATGGGAGTGAATATCTGGAAGCCACTCATCTAGGCCCTGCCATTCCTAGCTGTGTGACCTTGGGCGTGTGAGTTGAGTACTGTGAGCCTTCAAAGTGAAGCTACCACCCCCACCCATGGCTGAAACATGATGAGGTACAGAGAGAGGTTAGGTCCGTACCCAAAGCTTGGCAGTTGCCAGCTGTTCCTGTTGTTATTCATGTTGTTGTTACCATGTTCGCAAAAATACCATGTTTTATAGCCAGCCTGACTCCTCACTTCTCCCAGCCCAGGAGGACCAGGCAGCTAGGACTCCTGCTATGTTTGAGGCAGTGGTTCTTCTAGCAACACCCCTTGAACTCTTGAGTGTCTCAGTGTCCCTCCTCGCTTCTCCCGGCCCTCTCCTGAGGCTGGCGTGTCTGCCATTTCTGTCGTCTTCTCGTCACCCGCAGTGTTTGCAGCCTGGCTGCCACTGCAGAGGATGCTGTTCGAAAGGGCTTGAACTGAACTTTGCCAACCCCGAACATTAAAATGGAATCTAACGGTTTTAAAGGAAAGATATAAAGTAAATTTTCACAGAGGGATTTCTGGATGTCGTGTTCAGAGCAACTGCTAGATGCCACAGCATGGTGCCCCTTTGAAGTACCAACAGGCTGGTTTTCAAAGTGACCACCCCAAGGAACCTCGCCTGTCCAGATGGAAAGGTTTTGAATGGCTTCCTCTTGGGGGTCTTGCTGCCTGGTTCACCACACCACCCCCCACACCCCTCTTCCCATTACCTGAGATAGCTTTAGATCACTTAGGCCTTACAGGGGCTTAAGGCCTAGGGGTTGATCACCCAGGCTGCAGCCAGCATTTTATTTTCCTCTGTGAGGAAGGCCCTAACTGTTACAGCTCTAGGCTTCAAACTTATATAAACTCAAAACCCCCTGCCATCCAGTCGATGCCGACTCCTAGCAACCAATGGCATAGGGTAGAACTGCCCTGGTGGGTTTCTGAGACTGTGGCTCTCTCTGGGAGTCGAGAACCCTGGTTTCCCGTGGAGCAGCTGGTGGTTTTGAACTGCCGACCTTGCTGTGAGCAGCCCAGCGTGCAACCACTATGCCACCAGGGCCTTTTCAAGTCACAGACTTTTGTTAAAGCCCCCTCATAAGTATTTTGTAAATAAAATGAATGGTATTTAAACTTGCATTTATTTCACCCTGGATTCCACACTTGCCCCACCTCTCAAAATCTATCTCCATGCCCCAAAGCTATCGCTGTCTTTTATTCACGTTTTAAACGGTTCTGCTTGCATACCATAGCATCTTTTAAAACGCAGCAAAGAGTGTGTCTCTGCTAACCCTCCCTTCAGGAGCCTAACCTTGGGCATCAAACCAAATCCAGATGTTTCCCTGCTGCCTCCGTCTGGATGGAATTCTCTGTCTTCTCCTTTCATCCCAGGAGCACTGCCCTCCACCATTTCTGCCTCTGGGCCTTTGCCTCTGCTGTTCCCCCTGCCTGACACACTCTTGGCCTGGACATTCCCTGGTGGCTCCTCGGTATCCAGGTGTCATTACTTACCACCTGTTTTTCACTGGGGTCTCCCGCCCAGCACGGTCAGGGCCTCAGTCTTATCCACAGCTGATGTCCCTGTGTTTTCTCCCCCACGGTGTGGTGCACCCCAATAAGAGAAGAGGCCTTGCCAGCTGGTCCATTCCTACCATTGCCTCCGCCCCCTGCTGAGGGTCTCTAGCACACATGCGTCATGGCTGAGTTCAGGAATGCTGTGGCTGGGTAGTTCTCCCCAGTGATGGGACCCCTACAGCACCTAGCAGAGATCGCTTCACCTGTCATCCCCTCATCTAGAAGGAGCCGCGCTTGGGGCTCATAGCTGCGAGACGCTGGACCAGCTGAAAGGCTCTGCTTTAGTTCCCCAATTTTAGAGAACCCCCCAACATCTGTCACGAAAAATGTGGGGTGGTAACATTACGAAGATGATGAAGAGGCCAGAGGAAATCCCAAGGTCCCAACATGCTCCCTGAAGCCTCCTTGGATAGTCGGAACTTTGTCTTACATGCTTTGTACATGTGGTGGGGGCTTGCTTGGTGGCCACAGTCCATCTTAGACAGTGGGCCTGGGACTAACTGGGAATTCCTGGATGGCAATGGGCATCTCCCAGACCATTTCATTGTGCTCGTGTGCGCCTTGTACATGGATGAAGTGGCAATTGTGCAAACAGAACAAGGGGATAGACCTGCGGAAAGTGTGCGTCAGGGCTGCGTCCTCTCACCACACTTACTCTCTCTGTGTGCTGAGCAAATCAACCGAGAATCTGGGTGACCTGAAGAGGTATGTGGCATCAGGATCGAGGAAGGCGTATAAACCACCTGTGATGTGCACATGACGCACCCTGGCTTGCTCACAGAGGAGGGCTTGAAGCACTTGCTGCTGAAGATGGAGAAGCGTAGCCCTCAGCCTGAATTACAACTCAACGTAAAGAAGACCCAAATCCTCACAACTGGACCACGAGACAACCCGTCATGATAAATGGAGAAAAGCTCGACGTTGTCGAGGATTTTGCCTTGCTGGATCCATAGTCGATGCTCACGGAAGCAGTTGTCAAGAGATCAAAAGATGCCTTGCACTAGATAAACAGGCTGCACCCAGCGTAGTTAGTGTTAAAAAGCAAGGATGTAACTTTAAAGACTAAGGTGTGCCCGACCCAAGCCCTGGTGTTGTCCATGGCCTTCAATGCATATGAATAAAGAAGACCCAAGGAAAATTGATGGGTTTGTGCTGGGGAGGAAGGCTGAAGGTCCCGTAGACTGCTCCAAGGACAAACTGACCTCTTTTGGGAAAAGTATGGCCAGAGTGCTCCTTGGGTAGTCAGAACTTTGTCTTACATGCTTTGTGCATGTTATCAGGAGAGAGCGGTCCCTGGAGAAGGACATCAGGTTTGATAACACAGAGGGACAGTGAAAAATAAGGAAGGCCCTCAAGGAGATGGGTTGACCCCGTGGCTGCAACCATCAGCGTAAGCACAGGAACAACAGCTGAGAGTGGCACCGGAGGGGCAACGTCCCAACCCTCTGTTGTGCAGCAGGTCCCCATGGGATGGACTCGATGACCCCTAACAACAGCCACAGGCTTCTCCCAGCTGGTTGGCACATTTTATCCTTGGGCTCCACAGAGAGTGGCAGGAAGAATGCTTGGTGGGCGCCCAGGGAGGGGGTTTCCCTCTGTTTTCTTGCCCACTGGCCCCTGACCCCTGGGGAACAAGAACTTAACCGAGTCTGCTTGAGAATGGGAACTGGGCCAAGGCCGGGAACCAATACGCTCTCCTGTTTTAACTGAATTTATGTTTTGCAAGGTTTCCTTTTATCTTACCGGGTTATTATGGGGACCAGCTGAGAGGAGGAATTGAAGATGGTTTGTAAAGTACAGGACATTATTCTACTGGAAAAGGTGACCAGCTGTGTACAATGGCTGAAATTGCTTCTAAACAGCTGGCCACCTGAGCACTCCCATTCCCCTGTGGAAGAGCAATGAGTCTGATGGCCCTCCCCGCACCGACCCCTATCCGACGTGGATGGCACAGTCTGGTTTCCATGAAGAAGGCTCGGCCTCTCTCTCACTCAGGATCTTGTATGAAGGGGATTCCACAAGTTTGTGGGGAAATGCAATTGAGAAACAATGGTGCTTTTTCCACAAACTTTTTTTATACCCGCACCTCCCCATAGGTCATCCTTTTAAATGTGTTTAATGTATGTGCCCTTATTTTCAATACAGGAGTGCTCAGCCTTCCCAGGGGAAGGAACATCATGGCTTTGATCAAACAATTCTCCTAAGGCAGGGGTTGACGGGCCCATTTCATGGGTGCAGCTTTGATTGGTTAAGTGACTTAGTCTGGGTCTCCCGGCCAGTCATTAGTAAAGTTGGAACCTGCTCCCACTTCTGCTCCCAGCCGCCTCCCTTATGGTAGTTAGACAATTTCATGTCAACTGGATAAAAGGAAGAAGGGGTGGAGTCTAGCCTGTCAATCAGGTCACTGCCTGACGATCACTCCTTGTGCGCATGGACTTCTCATGAGGATTCTGCTTTGGGCCTCCGTGTGAATATCAGAGGGCCTCCCCGCCCCCCCCTCCTTTCAGAAGAGTCCTGGTTTGGGTGATATCCATCGTCTGGACCCTCTAAGTCTAGCGATTCATACCCAACCTTGGGGACATCCACACTCCTACAGGCATAAAGGGGCCGTGTTTGAAAAAAAGTATCTAACAGTTATAGTGGAGTGCTAAATGTGACAGTGTCTAGATGCTGTTTGTTAACCACTCGACAAGTCACAGCACTCCCGGACCCCCAATGAGCCATGGGAGAGGAGCCGTGGCAGAGTTTGCTGCCTGGAATTCCAGGGTCTTTGGTAGCCTTCAAGATTTCATATTCCAAGCGTGCGATCCCTGGGCCAGCAATATGATCCTGTCAGAAATGCAAATTATTGCGTCCCATCCCAGACCTGCTGGATCAGACACCCTGGGGGTGGGGCCCACGATGTGCTTTGACGGGCCCCACAAACGTAGCATCTGTTAGACACACACACGCTCAGTGGACGTTCCGTCCATGTGCTCTGTCCAGAGAGGGGCCGTTTTCCCCCAGCCTCTATTGCCCCAGCTTCAAAGCAGAGGCAGTGCACGGCTTGGGATGAGGTTGACAACTGTGATTGTAGGTGGGAATAGATCTTTGGTTCTAATGATCCGTTTTCAACTGGGTTTTTGCTGAAAGTGTCATCTTTCATTGTTCATCTCCCGGCTTGGCTGTTGGCAGGAGCCGAGGGAAAGCCCGGAGCTCGGTGTGAGTCCACAGAGGACACCAGAAGACTGTTCCAGTGACGAGTACGACTCCATTGAAGAAGACGTGTTCTCCGAGCCCGAGCCCGAGGGCCAGGAGCTGGAGAGCCTTCCCAGAGAGGGCGCCCTTCTTTCAAGTGGGGACTCGGTGCAGAAGGACCTCCCCGACGACCACGCGGCAGAAGGACACCCTCTGCAGGGCCCAGACACCCTGGTGATGCTGGCCTTTAATACGCCTTCCACAAGTGAGATTTGGTGGTGTTTGTTTGTTTTACTTTGTCTCTGGATCTAAATAGTAGCACTTGAACTCCGAGGGACACTGTGAATCAGCTCTGGGTAGAGTGGCCTCCTGGGCCAGGGAGGTAGATTCATCAGGTCTCTGTAGATGGCTCACTACAAAGTGACTTAGGCACAAGGGCCTAGTTAGTAACTCCGATAAGTGAGGAGCCCAGGGCAGTAGTCTGATCTTAGACCCAGCTGGCTGAGTCACAGAGTCTCAAGTTTTAGCGATCAGGACAGAGCCCTGGTGGCTCAGTGGTTAAGCATTGGGTTGCTAACTGCAAGGTTAGCACCTTGGAAACCACCAGCCGCTCCACAGGAGAAAGACTAGGCTCTCTACTCCCGTCAAGAGTTAGTCTCAGAAACCCCCAGGCGCAGTTTTGCCCTGCCCATATAGGGTCGCTGTGAGCTAGAATCAACTCATTGGCAGTGAGTAGGGTAGCCATGAGCAGGACCAGAGCACCTGTGGAGAGATGGAGACCAGTCACTGTCCCTAGTGCTCCTTCTCAGCATCCTTTACACTCCTCCTCCAGACTTACCTCTGAAATACGGTGCTACGGTTTGATCAGAGGCTGGGCCAGGTAGAGCCACAGCAATCATTTGGTTTGAGGCCTGGGGCATTGAGGAAAATATTCCCACTGGGCTCCTCCTTCCCCCTTCCCCAGTGTGCTGTCATTCCTAGGTAGCTTTCCCACATTCAGAAGCAGAATTGCTGTTGTCTGAACCGTTCCTTTTCTGTTCCGTGCAGTATCCTGGGAATGCACCATTTCAGGGGAGTCTGCTTTCTCTGAGGGACAAAGAGAGGATTGTGAGAGGCTGCCAGGGGCCCCCCGGGTCCTGGGAATGACAGGGTATAGAGAGCCAGACCAGTTTGATACCAGATGCCGTTTGAGGTTAATCCCAGGGTGTGTAAAGTGAGAAGAGAGAACAGTTTCTTGACATTTTTTAGCAATTAGCCTGCTGGCGGGCCCCCTGTGGCTGTGATGGCTGCCAAGGGTAGGCGCTTGGGGGTGGGGGTGTTATCACCCCAAGAGGCTGCCTCACTTCCCTCTGATGCACAGTAGGAGGAGAGCTTCTGCTGAGGGGAGCACGCAGGAGGCCCAGGGGCCCGCTGCAAGGTCTCACCAGACTCCAACATGGTATTGGGGTTCCAAACTAACCGTGAGCATCCTCAAGCGTAGTCCCCAGAAAGTGTGTTTGGTTCTAGAATGTTCGTTCATTCAGTCAACCATTCGGCACATATCACACCCCGGGCACTGTGTGAGCACAGGTGACCAGAGAGGAAGCAGACAGGCGAGTCCTGCCTCCAGCTCTCACATCCCAGCAGGTTAAAGAGGCCATAAGCGTGTTAGGATGGATGTGAAGCATGGCTGAGTTTTTACTGACCTCTACGGACCAAGCACTATCCTAAGGGCTGTATGCGTGCTCCCTCATTGAGTGGTCACCAGCACGCCAAGGGAAGTGATGCTATTGCCTTCCATTTTACTGATGGGGACACCAAGGCACTGAGCGATCAAGTAACTTGCCCAGAGGGACCCCAGAGGGGCAGAGATAGGAATCCAGGGAGTCTGGCCCCGGAGAGTTCTCAAGCACCAGGCTAAGTCAATAGCCAGATAGGCAGAAAGCAACCGTGTCTATTTTAAGGTCCTCTGATGGGCAATGTGAATACCCCTTGGCCATATAGCCTAGCACAGCACAATCCCAGGTTTCCAGGTGGTATCTGGAGGGCGGGGTTGGGGACGGGCCACTGTTCTGCCTCCAAGGATGAGTAAGGGAGCGCATGAGACAGCATGTGTCCAGGACACAGCCCTGGTGGACCATTGCTCCAAGTGCCCTCAGCATCATTTTCAGCTCGTGGGGAGCCAGTCCCCTGGTCATCCACTCCCTCCATCCTGTGCCTCATCCCATTGGACGCAGTCCCCCTACTGCCCTCTCAGTCTGACCTTGGACCCCAGGTGTCAGGCAAGCCAGTGAGCAAATATTCACATACTCTAGGATGTGGTGGATAGATGCATGTTCTTCCCCAAAGTAGGAGTGATGGCTAAGCAGGTCAGGCAGATGCCACTCACCTCTGGAGCTCCCCAAGCCCCCCTGGAACCCTGATCCCAGGCAGGACTCCTTTTTTGGGGACCTGGCAAGCCCCCAGGAGCTTCTTGGCTGGGATTCACTGCTCGGTGCACTTTAGTTAGACATTCCTAGGTGCCCTCTATGCCTGCCCAGGAGGACCCAAGCCCAGGAGCTCCAGAACTCTGAAGATGCCCTGGGTGGCACAGTTATTTCACATGGCATGAGGAAAGACGTACTGCCAGTGAGACCTGGCAGCCCTCGATGGTAAGACCTGCTGCTGAGGGACAGTGGCAGCCTGAGAGAACCTGGATGTCCTGGGACATCTCATTCCTTGTTCATAGCGTCTGATGCTGTGCATGCAGTGACTGAGCAAGCCCATTTTGTTGGCAGACCAGCACGGCACCTGGCACAGAATAGGGGCCCAAGAAGTATTTGTGGAAAGAATAAGTGAATGAACCAAAGAACAAACGCCCGAGCCAGATATACCTACCGACTCTGTTCCCCTTCAGCATCTTGACTTGTAAATGTCTTTTGCCTGCAGGTGGTAAGCGGGAAAGACATTTATCTGCCAAACGGAAGGACAATGCCGATGTCTTCATTCCCAGCAAATCTGAGCCAACCCTGAACCACCAGCCCCCTGCCACACTCCCAGACCACGAGAGGCCTTATTCCAGTAAGTTCTGGGCACCTCTGAGCTGGGGGGGCAGGGGGGCATGGGGGTCACCTCAGTGGGGAGCTATGGTGGAAGAGCCCTTGCTTCACTGCCCTCCCTACCGAGGGTGGAGCTGACTCTCAGCCACGTTGCAGGTTCTGTGGCAAATCTGTGGTTCAAGTCGAACGTTGCTTTCATTTTTGTTCTTACTTTAAAATGAATGTGCTTAACTCTCTGGGTCATAATATGTACAAACAGGAGAAAATTCTAAAGGTTCAAAAGAGTCTATGGTGAATACACTGCCTCTGGTGATATGAGGAGCCCCGTGCATTGAGGCAGCCATTGACCTAAGCTTCTACTCATATTGTCTCATAACCAGCCCAGAAGCAGGCGCCTGCAATTGTACATACTTCACGGATAGAAACTAACACACAGAAAGATAGTTCACCCAGTTAGAACCATCCAGAACCAAGCTCACTGCCACTGAGTTGATTCTGACTCATAGTGACTCTAGCACAGGGTAGAACTGTCCTTGTGAGTTTCTGAGACTGTAACTGTTTATGGGAGTTGAAAGCCCCATCTTTCTCCCATGGAGTGGCTGGTGGTTTTGAACTGCTGACCTTGCAGATCACAGCCCAATTCATAACCACTACACCACTCGGGGCCTCTTCGCCAACTGGAAAGGGGCCGATAAAGAGCTCAGCGATGGTCGAGCGATTCCACTGTGTGTTTTATCAGGAAACTGCTCACGTGCAAGGCTGTAAAGTGGACCGTCTCATCCTAATGCCTGGTGTTAAACAGTGCCAGACACTCCCCGGGGGCCACCTGGTTGTGGGACATCTGTGACACAAGGGACCTCAAAGAACTCAAGGCATCCTAGTGTTGTCTCCAGAGATTGTCCTGGGTATAATCTAGCCGTGTCCCAGCAAATGATAAAAGCCCTGGTCTAAGCCAGGGCCCTGATCTCTGTTCTTTGGCAGTCTACCCTTGTGCTTGGGGAACTAGAGGGTTTTTTTTTCCTGGTGGCATGGCCTAGGAACCTGATGGTAGGAGCCACCCTGCCCACCCCAGAACAGGGGTCTGTCCTACTCCCAGCCTAAGGCCTGGGGTGTAAAGCTCTTGTCTCAGCAGCTCAGGGCCCATGGAAGAAGGAAGAGAAAGTGAACACCCAGCAGGAAATAACAACAATAAAGGCCATGTATTGGCCGTTCACTCTGGGCATCAGGATTAGAGGAAGGCTCATTAACAACCTTCAGTAGACAGATGACACAACATTGTTTGCTGAGAGCGAAGAGGACTTCAGGCGCTTGCTAAGGAAAACCAAAGACTGCAGCCTCCAGTGTGGATTACAATCCAGGGTTAAGAAAACCCAAATCCTCCCAACTGGACCAACAAACCTATCGTGATAAGCACAGAAAAAACGGACGTTGTTAAAGATTTCATTGTACTTTGATTCACAACTAATGCTCAGGGAAATAGCCATCAAGAAATCAAACGAGGATTTCCGGCAAGATGACACCCAGCTAAGCAGCTTGCATCAAGAGCTCCTCAGTGATCAGTAAATTCACTGATTAGGAAACTGAGGGGGCAATTCAGGAAAGGGAGAGCGGGACCAGACCTCAACCTGGTGCGCCAAGCCTTGACAACAGACCAGCATGAAGCTGTGAGCTAACAGAGGTCTGCGAGGCCAGCCCCTATCCCAGCTACATCGACCCCCTCCCCAGAAGAATGCACTATAGAGGACACCACTGAATGAGTGTACAGCCCCGGGGTAGTGGCAGGTCCCCAGATCACATGGAGGAAACTAAGAGAGAAAGAGAGCGTGCACAGCATCCTGCCCCACCAAGTTCCGAGGACGACAGTCCCTCTCCAAGCAGCCGGTGCACAGAGAGGACTAGGGTCAGCCTCACCTCACTAGGAGACACGGCGTCCCCTAACTGACCCAGAGCGCTATGAGGGGCGAGGAGGTAGCACAGGAGACACAGTGCGGGAATTGGGCCCTGTCTGATCCCCACATGCCAGGGCATAACACAAAGGGAGCGCAACAGAGCAGCAATGGGGGGGTGGGGGGAGCAAGGCAACAAAGTCCCCAGGGAATTCTGAAAATAGACTTTGGACTCGGGGCAGCGCGTGGCACTGCAACAGATTGGATTGGAAAACATACATAAGGGTCAACAGACAAACCTTGAACTATTCATACACTGGTTTTTTTTCTTGTTTTTTTTTTTTCATGTCTATCTATATAAGATAGGCAGGATAAACAATCCTGAGGAGTAAACAACAGGGCTGATGGTTCCAGGGGGTCAGGGGAAAGGAGAAGGTGGGGGAAAGGGAGCGGGGAGCCAACAAACCCAGGGACAAGAGAACAATAAGAGATCTAAAATCGATGGCAAGGTCATAGAATGCCTGGTGGGGTTGATCAAGTGCCATGTGGAGAAAGTAAAGAGCCAAATGAAGGTCGAACACGATAGTGGGACAGGAGGAAAGGAAAAGGAAATAGAGAAAAGAACTAAGGCAAAAAACATTTATAGAGGCATAAATTTATGCATGCGTATATTAAATACATTAACATAAAATTATAGGGATATAGGTCTATGTACATATGTTAAATATTAAGGTAGCATATGGACATTGGGCTTCTATTCAAGTCCTCCCTCAACACAAGAACACTTTGTGCTAATAACCTGGCATTCTGTGATGCTCACCTTCCCGACACAATCACTGAACACAAAATGGGTATATAAGCAAATGTGGTGAAGAAAGCTGATGATGCCCAGCTATTACAAGATATAGCATCTGTGGTCTTAAAGGCTTGAAGTTAAACAAGTGGCCACCTGGCAGGGAAGCAACAAAGCCCACTTGGAAGAAGCACATCAACCTGTGTGATCACGAGGTGTTGACAGGATCAGGTATCAGGCATAAGGCATAAGACCCAAAACAAACAACCATTTCGATGCAAACGAAGAGGGTCAGAATGGAGACCCAAAGCCCATTTGTAGACAAATGGACATCTCCTCACAGAAGGGTCACAAGGAAGGGACAAGCCAGCCAGGGTGTAGTATAGCACTGGCGAAACACACATTCTTTTAGTTCTTTAATGCTTCTTCCCCACCCCCCCCAGCCCCCCGCCACTATCATGGCCCCAGCTCTACCTTAAAAATCTGGCTAGACCAGAGCCTATAGACAATGCAGATAAGAGCTCTTGACACACAGAATCCAGGACAGATAGACCCCTCATGGCTAATGATGAGAGTATCGATATCATGAAGGTAGAGGAAAGGTGGGGGAGAAGAAGGAGAAAGGGGGAACTGATTGCAATGATCAATACACGCATCACCCCCACACCACCCCGGGGACACCAAACAACAGAAACATGGGTGAAGGGAGACAGTGGATGGTGTAAAATATGAAAATAAAAATAATGTATCAATTATCAAGGGTTCATGAGGGTGGGAGTATGCGCAAGGGGAAAAGGAGCAGCTGATACCAAGGGCTCAAGTAGAAAGAAAATGTTTTGGAAATGATGATGGCAACATTTATACAAATGTGCTTGATACAATTGATGTATGGATTGTTATAAGAGCTGTAAGAGCCCCCAGTAAAATGATTTATTAAAATTTTTAAAAAGGAAGTCAAACGACACATAGCATTGGGCAAATCTGCTGCACAAGACCTCCTTAAAGTGTTAGACAGCAAAGACAGCCCATCGAGGACCAAGGTGTGCCTGGCCATGGTTTGTTCAGTGACCTCATATGCACGCAGAAGCTGGACAGTGAATGCGGACGACAGGAGGGTGACTGATGCGCTTGAATCTTGAACATACCATGGACTTCCAGAAGAACAAACAGGTCTGTCTTGGAAGAGGGATAGCCAGGGTGCCCCTTAGAAGCAAGCATGGTGAGACTTCAACGCACATACTTTGGACATGTTATCAGGAGAGACCAGTTTCTGGAAAAGGACATCATTCTTGGTAAAGCGAAGAGGCAGAGGAAAAGAGGAAGGCTCTCAGTGGGATGTCTTGACCCAGTGGATGTATTGTTGGCCTCTGATATAGCAACAGCGCTTTGTTCTGTTGTACACAGGGTTGCTATGAGTGAGAATTGATTTGTTGGCACATAACAATAGAGCTAGCAGGGGACGCAGGGCCATGAGGCCCAGGGCTTCAGGTCAGGTATCCTCTGGGCCATCAGGGGAAGGAGTTCCAGACAAGGTAACAGACATGGTCTTCACTCCAGAAACTGTACACAAGCACCTACTAATGTGCCAGGTTCTGTTGCAGGTGTTAGAGCTCCAATGAACAAGAAAGTCATTGCACCTGCCCTCAGAGTGTTTATCTTTGCAGGCCCAGAGATGGATAACAAGCAAGTGATTGGATGGTGTTAGCAGCTGCCAAGGTAGCACAATAGAATGAAGATAGGTCACCCAGCCAGCATGAGTTGGAGTCAGTATTTGAAAACATGGGCCGTCAGTTCTCTGTTCTGAGCTACCCCACTGAATGACTCATATGCAAACTCCACTATTTGCTCAGACAGATCCCATAAACCTAGCCCTGTATGATAACATTGCTAAAATTTGCAGGTTATATTTGTTATATTTTTCTTAGTGTCCATTAAAATAAACATTTACTCTCAGCAAAAAAATAGGAAGACCCTCCAGGAGATGGATTGATGCAGTGGCTGCAGCAGTAGGATCCAGTGTAGGAACAGTCATGAGGATGACACGTGATAGGTTTTTCGTGCCAACATGGCACCCATAAGAATATATGGGTGGGTCTTAGCCTGTCCATCAGGTCATGACTTTATGACCTCATTTGGAAGTGCCACCGAGAAATGGCTCTCTGGAGGTGGGCCTTTCCCTCTGTCTCTGCCTTCATCTTCCTGTGGCAAGGCACGCTGAGACTCCTGAGATCCCTGCAATGCTTCCACCGCCATTGGGTCCACAAGACGTTGCACCTACTAGCCCGTGTTCTTCCTGCATTCTGCATCCTTACATGTGAGTCTGAAGAGGGATTTATGGACTAG